TCCTGGTGGTGCCCAGTGAGGAAGGGCCCCAGGATGGATGGGCACGGTGGGGGGGGGCACGGTGAGGGGGGCGGAGGCCACTGAGCACCACCCCAGTCACTGCGTGCCCCACACCTGCTGTGAACACAGCATCCTGGCAGGTGTGACTCTCCACTAGGATTTGGGGCCCTTGGACCAGCCTCTTCCCAGAGCGGCTCAGGACCCCTGCCAAGCCTTGTCCAGGAGCACAGGTGGAGTCCTTGACCCCGCCGCCCTGAGGGTGGAGCTGGGGGCTCAGAGTCTGTCCGGTGCACCCCCCGCTCCTGGCCTCAGTCTTCCTGTTCCATAAGGGGGCAGGAGCCTCCTCCGCCCAGTCTGCAGGTGGCCCCAGTCGCCTGGGCTGGGCTGGGGGTCTGAGAACCTCCCGGTCAGGTGGCCCCGAGGTGGGCGGGCCTGCCTGCCTGGCGGTGGGCCTTAGTGATCTTTGTTTAGCATCCTGGACCACCTCTGATGGCCACCCGTGCTCCCTGGCCCCTCTCTTCGGGGCTCTGGTGACACTGTTTGTTGGAGGGTCCTGGGCAGAAGGCCTATGAGCGGAGGCCGTGCTGGTGTGGGAAGGGTCTTCTATCAGGCACCCTGCTGCAGGCAGAGCTGGGGCCGGCCGTGTAGGGTGGGAGGGGCCTTCTGCTGTGGCGGGTACGACCCCAGGCCCTGACCATCCCTGTCTGCATTGGGTGGCACCGTCCCTGCCCACCTTTGGGGCACAGGCCCCAGGCCTGTAGACGTGGCCTCCAGCCACAGGTTACCGGCTCTTGCGCTGATATCCCAGGCCCCAGGCAGCAGGGTCAGGTGGGGCCCTCGGTGCCGGGGAGCCCTGCGTCCCCCACGGTTTTCCTTAAGAAGGTGCACGGGCCCTGGTGGCGCCACCGTGTCCCCAGGGACGCATTGGTGAACTGCGTACGGATCAAATCCAGCAGTGCTGGCTAGAGTGAGAGCCCACTGTGCCCAGAGGACCAGGCCGCTTCTGCACCGGGCCTCTGGTGCCCTGATGCCCCGACGCGCATGAAACGGAGGCTGGGCAGGCAGGGCCCGTCCGCGCGGCAGAGCCCCAGTTCTTCTGATAGACCGTCTGGCCCATCTGTCAGTGGTGCCCCCAGCGTGCCCCTCCCCTGGGGCGCTTCTGTCCGGCCTGCAGAAGGAGGGGGGCGGCACACCCCCCGATGACCCCCGTCCACACCCGCACCCAGCCAGGGCACTGTGCTCACCCAGCTCTGCCCCGCTCAACCGCAAACGCCTTGAGGGCAGAACCAAGTGAGTCCTTCCTCCGCGCTGAGTCCCGCCTTGGAGCTTCGGGGAGGAGGGAGCTGTCATCTCTCCCCTGGGGGTGGCAGATGGCCCACTTAACTCAGAAAGGAAAACAGCACCATTTAGCATTAGTCCCGGGTGAAGGGGGTGAAAGGTCGAGGCAGCATCTGCCTCCGGACGCTTCTGGAGCTGCATTTTTATGGAGCGGCGCTGGGGGGTGGGGGGAGGAGCCGGCACGGAGGAAACACCGAGGGAGGCCCCAATGAGCTCCGAGCCTGGCAGGCAGGCAGGCTGCAGGCCTAGCAGCTGTTTGGTGCTGCCGCCCCCCACCCCGGGTGCCGCCTCTCTGCTGCTCAGATTCTGGAGCCCCCAGCCCCACCTGACCCTCAGCTGATGCTGGCCGTGGTGGGCCAGGACAGGTCACCCCACCAGGCTATGTGTGGGCCGGAGGGAAGGCGAGTGGAGGAGGAGACACGGGGGGGACCACCTTCCAGAGGGGAGCAAGGAAGGGGAAGCCGCCACGGGCCCCCGGGTGCAGGGAACTGAGTGGCATGGTGCACGGGGTGGTTCTCGTCCAGCCTCAGGGCCCCCGACGGCCCCTGGCCTGGAATCCCGAGGCAGGTGTTGGTTGCTACTTTCCGCTCCAAGCCCGGGCCCCTGTCCCCGCCAGGCACTTAGGCCGACCTGCCAGGACAGGTGTCTGGGACCGAATGACTACCAACCTCACGGGCCCTCCACCTTCTCAGGGAAGTGCGGGTGCCATGGGCACCTCCCCAGGAAACCCCAGCGCTGCAGCCAGGATGGAGTGCAGGTGGGGAGGGGGCGAGGCGAGGGGGGCATGCCGGAGGCCGCCCAGAGCAGGGACAGGCCTCTGTGACGGGCTGTAAGGCCCCTCCACCCTGCCTCCCTGCCCCCCCCAAGCCGAGACCCTGCCGGCCTGGCCCGGGAGGAGCTGAGCCAGGCCCTGGCTGTACTGAGCACCGCCCCCACCNCCTGGCTGTACCGAGCACCCCCCCCACCGAGCACCTGCCTCAGCAGCAGCCCCCGCCCCCAGAGGCTGCCCCTCCCTCGCTGCCCTGCCCCTCCCCCGGCTGGGGTGCTCATGGTGGACTGCGGCCAGGCCCGGCCCTGGAGCCGGCCTGCATGGGCAGCGTGCCTTCACAGCAGCGTCCGCCAGGCCTGGGCGGGAGCAGGGAGGACAATGGGCCCCCTCAGCCGCTGCCGTCCCCCCACGGAGGAGCCTCCCTGGCTCCTGCCCCGCCCCCTGCCCGCTGGGGCTGGCAGCCGCCGCTGCGCCGGCCGGGAGCAGCTGCCGCCCGCGTCCCCGGCCACAGGCGCACCTGCTCCCCCGCCGCCCTTTGTCCCGGCTGCCGACGCCTGATTTACTGGGCGCGCTTTCCCCCTCGCTGGCCCAGCGTAAGTCATGCAGCCTCCCTGGCCAGGATGCTTTCGGCCAGGTGGATTCTCCCACAGTCCTCTGCGTCAGGCTCCGCATTCAGGACGGGCTGGAGGGGGGATTTCAGGGACACTCTGCCCCGTGCCTGGAGGCTGTAGCGTTGTGCACCCTGGTGGGCCCTTTCTGGTCCACTTGGGAATGCTGCCGAACCGGACCAGTGATGGAGGCGGAGCCCACATGGAGGACGCACTGGGCAGCCTTGCGCGCATCTCCCCCAGGCCGTGGGGCGGCCTGCCTCGTCTCGCCCACCTGGGTGGGCTTCCCACGCCTTGGAGCTGGGCGTGGACAGGGTGGGCAGGCTGCCACCCTCCACCCCGCTTTGATGACCAAGCGTCCTCTGTCCAGCTCCCACTTTCTGCCTCCTCTTCAGTAGCTGGGAAAGAAGAAGAGCCTGTTCTCCAACAGGGAGCGGTGGCCAGCTCCTGCCCGACAATGGAAGGCATTGAGAGGTGGGGGAGGTGCTACCTCCCGGGTCTCCCCTCCCCTCCAGGGCTCTGGGTTCCCAGTGCCACTCAGGACGGGACCAGGCGGCCTGTAACTGGATCCACGCTCAGTGGGGGCCACACCACGTTCCCCGGGCTCCAGGGTATGGCCTGCCGGAGCCCGAGGTGCCAGGGTGGCAGGCGCACAGTGGGGGCGTCCTGGGGTCTGTGCCCCCAGAGAGGAGCCAGCCACACCCGTCCTCCTCCCCTTCCCTGAGTGGGCTGGGCAGGAGCCGCGGCTCAGGCCTGAGTTACCCCCCCTGCACCCCTCCCAGAAAGGCAGCTGGTTTTCTTTAAGCCAGTTGGTTTGGGACTTTTGGCTTCAGGCGACAGATGGTGGTCCGGAGTGGCCATTTTGCGTCCTCCCTGCCCGCCCTGCCCAAGCCACAGCCTCAGATGAAAGCCCCGGCTTCTCACGGACGCACCCCCCCCAACCCCAGGGTGGAGGCTGCCCCTGCCCCCCTCTCCCCGTGCAGCTTTGGGCAGGCGGGGAGGCAGGGGGCCCCGGCGGGCTGGCATTTGTCAGGGGCGAGGGGTCCCGGAGTGAAGGCCTGAACCCCACGGAGCATCCCTTCCTGGGAGGTCTTGGGAAGGTGGGGTGGTCGGAGCCCAGGAGGGCCCTCTCTTCCCCCAGGGTCCCCGAGGCTTCTGGCTGCCCAGCGTGGGGGAGGAGGCCCCCACCCACCGGGGCCGGTGGGTGGGGGTGGCTGCGGGCCCAGCTTCAGGGCCGCCTTCCCAGGCCGCTGCCTGCTGCGTTCCACCCCAGAGGCTCTGCTGCTGGGAAGAGGGAGGTCTGGCTGGTCCCAGAGCCTCTCCTGGGCTTTCCCTAGAGTGCAAGGCCATGAGGTGACCCTGGGGGGCAGTGTACCGCCCCGCCTCGAGAAGCTGAGGCAACAGGTGGCCAAGGGCGGCCCCAGGGCAGGGGTAGCAGATGCTGAGCCCTTCTCGGCAGCGGGCAGCGCCCAGGATCAGGCCTGGGGGCAGGGGAGGCAGGGCACCCCCCACTCCTGACTTACCTGCCGCCGTCTCAGTCCAGGGCAGAGCCTGCCAGAGCGGCGGTCCTCCTGGCCCCTGCTTTCTCCTGCTGTGCAGTGGGCTGGGCTTCCTTTGTGAAGCCTTCACCCCCAAAAGGGAGACTCCATGCCCGGGCACCGTGCGTGGGTGAGGGTGGAGCGCTGAGCAGCTCAGTCCTGTCGCATCAGACTCCCGACAAAGAATTCCACATCGCAGACTACACGGGGAGCCCGACCATGTGGTGTCTGCACTGCTTTCCCTGTTTGCTGTTGTATTCATACTGAAAGAAGAATAATCTGTGAACTCTTTTATTACCCAAATAACGCACACTCGTTATAGAAAAGCTGGCGAGAAAGAGTAGGCAGGTACCCGAAACGAAAGGTTTCACAGAACACCATTCCCTTCCACGGAGAACGGCTGGGTCTGGCCCGCGTGGCCCCTTCTCGGTGGCTTGTGGGTGCAGACAGACGCCTCCGTGGCTTCTGAAGCTGATGCTGGGGCCCGCCAGACACTCTGCTCCAATTAACATAATCACTGTTTTTATGGACATGAAATTCCCTTGATGTGAAAGTAACCACTTTAAAGAGGAGAGCTCAGAGGCACTCGGCACCCTGGTGATATTGGGCAACGACCCTCACTCTGGTCCCAGAACCTCCCCGAGCTCTTTGAGGGGGCCACTGCCCGGGAGGGGACCCCCATCGATGGCAGGGCTGGTGGCGGGCTGGCTGGGGAGCGGGCGCTCACCACCCTGGTGTCTGCCACAGCTGCAGCGGGGCATTCGCGGGCCAGCAATGCCAGGCCCCCAACCCCTGCCTCAGCGCCCCCTGCAAGAACGGCGGGACATGCCACACGGTGGAGCGAGATGGCCTGGTGGATTACACCTGCAGCTGCCGCCTGGGCTTCTCGGGGCCGCTCTGCCTGACTCCCCGAGACCACGCCTGCCTCGCCAGCCCCTGCCTCAACGGCGGCACCTGTGACCTGCTCACGCTGGCTGAGTACAAGTGTCTCTGCCCCCCAGGCTGGTCAGGTGAGGACCCCGGCAAGGGGGGGGGATGGGGTGACTGGTGCCAGGCCCCCGTCCGCGTGGCCGTGGAGGCTTCTGGACTGGGCTCGGCTGTGGGGGTCAGCGATCCAGAAATTGCCCAGAGTCCCCACCTGGGGATCCCCATGCCGCTTTCCAGCTCTGGAGGTGTCAGTTTCGGCTCGAGGGCACCCCCTTCCGCAGCCTCTGTGAGAAAAGGGGAGACTCCCCCCGGCCCCCGCAGGAGCCGTGGCGTCACTGCTGGCTCAGGAGGGGCGCAGTCTGGGTCAGCTCCCGAGGGGCCCCGGCCTTCTGTGCCTGCCGCGGTGTTCACTCAGCCCGTAAGCGGTCGGGGTCCCCGGGCGGTGAGGAGCTGATGCCATTGGGCCCATGCCCGGCTCACCCCTCGTCCGGGTCTGGACACTGCCCCCGGCTCGCAGGAACCAGGGAAGCCGGCTGACCACCGCCCCCCGCCTTCCCCACCAGGGAAGACATGCCAGCAGGCTGACCCCTGCGCCTCGAACCCCTGTGCCAACGGAGGCCAGTGCCTGCCCTTCGAGGCGTCGTATATCTGCCACTGCCCAGCCGGCTTCCATGGCCCCACGTGCCGGCAGGACGTCAACGAGTGCAGCCAGAGCCCCGGGCTCTGCCACCACGGCGGCACCTGCCTCAACGAGGTCGGCTCCTACCGCTGCGTCTGCCGCCCCACCCACACCGGCCCCCACTGCGAGCTGCCCCACGTGCCCTGCAGCCCCTCCCCCTGCCAGAACGGGGGCACCTGCCGCCCCACGGGGGACACCACCCACGAGTGTGCCTGCCTGCCAGGTACTGCCCGCCGGAAGCGTGCGGGGGGGCGGGGGGCCGGGCAGGCTAGGACTGGGGGCGTCCCCTGAGCCCAGGTGGTTGGAGTGCAGCCCTGGGGCTGGTGCAGGGCTGGCTCTGGGATGGGGGCACCCACCCACCACGTGCCGGTCTGCTGTGACCCCCGAGTGCTCCTCCCCTGTGCCGGGGACCCTGCCGCCCCCAGGGAGGGCCTGAGCATTCCGTCCACTCCGAGGTCACTCTGCTCTCCTCGCCCCCTGCTCTGAGTCTCCCGGGCCGTGGACGCCGGCCTCCTTCAGGCCTCTCGGGAGGGCCCTTATCCCGAGGTCCCCGGGACCACGTGCACGCTGCAGAACTCTCCCCCGCTGCAGGGAGCACCCTTGCTAGTGCCGCCTGCGGGGCTTCCCCTGGTTCCTGGAGGTGGGGCCGGGGCGGGGCCGGGCCTCACGCGTGCCCCCTCCCCCAGTGGCGGCCCTTTCTCCTGGCCTCCTCTGTTGCCCACTGCCGGGGCAGGAGTGACAGGTGGGCCCCGCCCTCCCCATCCCCCCAGCAGCTCCACCGTTCCTGTTGTGTGTCCCAGACTTTCCACTGTAGTCTTCCTCTGAGTCGGTTTTGCTGCTGCTGATCTAAGAATACTAATAATGACGAAGAGGTTCAAAAACCTCCAGTCTGTCACTTGCACAGGGCGGAGTTAGGCAGGAACTGGGAGGGGAGGGTGTTTTGCGGTGGGGCACTGAGGAGGTAGGTTTGGTGGGGTTTGGGTGCCGGAGAGGGGAGGGCCCAGGGTCCGGCTGATCCAGGACTGACCCAGAGGTCACCCCGGCCCCCACACGGCCCTTGGCCCAGCCCGGCCCTCGCAAAGAGGAAGTGCTCTTCCAGCCCGCGAGCCCTGGGCCTGTCGCCTCTGCGTGCAGACGCCAGGCGTGTGCATTTCCGGTCCCTGGTGCTCCCCTCGCCACCTGCCCGCCCCAGCACTACCCGCTGCCCAGCTGGGCTGCGTGGCTGTTTCGGAGTCTGGGTTCAGATGCCTTCCGGGGGGAGCCGCTGTGGGACCCCGACCCTGTGACCTTGCATCTGGCCCCGTGGGTCAGGAGGGGCTGTGGTGCAGGCTGGGGGGGCGGTGGGCGGCGTGGGGGCCTGGTGGAGGGGGCCGCAGACGTGGAGCAGGTGGGCTGAGGCCGGGCAGAGGTGACACTTTAGGCCCGCCGCACGCAGGAGGGAGTGGAGTGTGGGCGCTGGGCTCCAGTGGGGGGGGCCTCTGAGGGAGGGGCAGGAGGGGGTCCAAAGACACCCTGGGAGGGGCATTAATTAGTAACCGGCTGCAGATTTGGCTATTGCCAGACGCACCTTTCTGGGTTGATTATTGAACCAGTGGGAGTCAAACGGATTAATAGCTAACTGGATGTGGAGGTGGTACCGTGGAGGTTGGCCTGGCTGGGAGGGGCTGGGGGGCCCCCACCCCGCCTGCACCTCTGCTGCTGGGAAGTGGGGGGTGCCGCACCCACACACGCCCCCACACCCCTGACTGCCTGCCAGGGTCCCTGCATGGAGACCGGCCCAGCGCTGCCCCTGTCAGATGGGGCACCCACGGCCACACAGGGGGTTGTGCAGAGAACGCCGAGCACAGGGCTGGGCCTGCCGGCAGTGCCCAGGCACAGAGGCCACAGCACAGACGTCTTCTCCGACAACCCTGAGGAGCCTATGATCGTGGGTCTCCATCTGTTCAGCTGGCCCTTTACAAAACGATTGCTTAGGAATGTGCTGACCGTGGGCTCTGGAGTGTGGAACCCAGTCACAGGAGTAAGGAGAGCAGGGTGTGGGGCAGGGACACCGAGGGCTCCAAGGCGGTGGGCATCACAGGGCAGGCCGTGGAGAGCAGCTCTCCACCCAGAGCAGGGTGTCCTGGGTCGAGCCAGGAAGGTGCTGGCGCCCAGTGAAGTGTGACTGGACGGGTGAGGGCCCAGCCCCTCGAGGAGGCCTGACCGGGCTGCTGGCCCCTGCTGCAGGCTTCACTGGCCAGAACTGCGAGGAAAACATTGACGACTGTCCGGGGAACAACTGCAAGAACGGAGGCGCCTGTGTGGACGGCGTGAACACCTACAACTGCCGCTGCCCCCCGGAGTGGACAGGTGCATACACCGGGCAGCCCGGGTGGGCACCTCTGCCGTTGGAGTCTGCCCCTGTGAGGGGCAGGCAGGAGGGAGCTGAGATCTGAGACGGGAAGGATGCTGTGACCTGTGGCTGACCCGCCCCCTGCCAGGGTCTGAGACGCGCCCCCCACCCCCAGCCCCCTGGAGCAGCACAGACGCAGGTGGCACCAGTTGGTCTGTGTGGGCCATTTGGAGCCTGGCCCCAGGCTGGCCTGCCACAATCAGGTCCCCACAGTGAGCCCAGCTTGCTGGCCAGGACACAGGGATGCTGGCCAGTAGGATGCGGGCTCTGCCCACAGGTGAGCGTGGACCCCAGTGCACCTGTGCCCGCAGAGTAGCCAGGCAAGAGCCCCCCGGTGCCAGGGGCGCAGAGGAAAGGCTGACTCTGGCTGGTGGGGGTGGAGGAAGTCAGGAAGACTTCTGGTGGAGGTGAGGGTCTAGGCTTGGCGGAGGGGGCTGGAGGCACCGCCCGGCCCGACCATCCCGGCCCCTCGCAGGTCAGTACTGCACGGAGGACGTGGACGAGTGCCAGCTCATGCCCAACGCCTGCCAGAATGGCGGGACCTGCCACAACACCCACGGCGACTACAACTGCGTGTGCGTCAACGGCTGGACGGGTGAGGACTGCAGCGAGAACATTGACGACTGCGCCAGCGCCTCCTGCTTCCAGGGTGCCACCTGCCACGACCGCGTGGCCTCCTTCTACTGCGAGTGTCCCCACGGCCGCACGGGTGAGCGCCCAGCCCGCCGCCAGGCAGAGGGCCCTTGGGGGTCAGGCCTGGGTGGGGGGCCTCGCACCACAGCTTGCGGGGCCCGTAAGGGGGAACCCCAGAAGGGGCCTCCTGGAGTGAAGCGGGCAGTCGTGAGCCTCCTGGAGTGGGGCCCTCCTCAGGGTCCCCGGCTGTGTCACCGTGTGGGGACGGACCTGGGGAGCCAGGTGGGGGCGGGCACCAGCTGTGGGCAGTCCACGTTCCCAGCCGGGGGAGAGTGGGGACAGTGCCTCCGCTGACCCCCGGCCGTGCCCAGGTCTGCTGTGCCACCTGAATGACGCCTGCATCAGCAACCCCTGCAACGAGGGCTCCAACTGCGACACCAACCCCGTCAACGGCAAGGCCATCTGCACCTGCCCCTCGGGGTACACGGGGCCGGCCTGCAGCCAGGATGTGGACGAGTGCTCGCTAGGTACGGGCAGCCAGGGTGCTGGGGAACCTGCTGGAAATAGTCCCATGCGGGGAGGCGGGTCTGATGGGGGAGGCGGGCACACCCCCGACTGTTCCAGAAGCCAGGGTTCCCAGGGCAGCCCCTTACCCATGCCGCGTCTACCCCCACCCCCCACCGCCAGGCGCCAACCCCTGTGAGCACGCGGGCAAGTGCATCAACACGCTGGGCTCGTTCGAGTGCCAGTGTCTGCAGGGCTACACCGGCCCGCGCTGCGAGATCGACGTCAACGAGTGTGTGTCGAACCCGTGTCAGAACGATGCCACCTGCCTGGACCAGATCGGGGAGTTCCAATGTATCTGCATGCCCGGTAGGCGGCCAGCCGCCCGCCCGACCCTGGGGATGGGGAAGCCGTGTTGCCCGCCCAGGCCACAGCCCCTCAACGGTTATCTGGGGAGATTTGAGCTAGGTCTCTGGGGTGTGGCAGAGAGCAGGTCAGTGCTGGGCAGCTGGGAGCAAGTGTGGAGGGGACGGGGCATTGCCGACCACCCCGCTCCCACCAGGCTACGAGGGCGTGCACTGCGAGGTGAACACGGACGAGTGCGCCAGCAGCCCCTGCCTGCAGAATGGCCGCTGCCTGGACAAGATCAACGAGTTCGTGTGCGAGTGCCCCACGGGTGAGACCGGGCCCCGCCCCTGTGTCGAGGCAGGGTCAGGCTCCCCCGGGGCGGGAAGGGGGCATGAGAGCCTCACCTCCCGAGTGTGGGGAGGCGGGGTGCGTTGGTTTTTAGCCCCCAGCACACAAGGCTGGGCCGGGCAGGGTCCTGGCCCCCACCTCGCTCAGGAGTCTGGGGCCCAGAGACCCTCCTTCCTGCTGTCGTATCCCGGCAGGAGGAGGGCCAGCCTGCCGTGCCCACCTGCCTCTGCCAGCGGCAGTGGATGTGATGGCCGGGAGGGCCTATGGAGCCTGTGGGGGCCCTGAGTCTATTGCAGGGAAGGGCTGGGGGATACGAGGCCAGGGGAGGTGTTGGGGGTCAGAGCCCTGGACCTGAGATGCAAATCAAGTGTCCCAGATGCCGAGGCGGGAACTGCATTCTCAGCCTAGCCCGGCTGTAGCCATGGCAACCGTCCGTCTTGGGCTGAGCCCCCTCTGAGGAAGCAGGGCAGGAGGGCTAGGACCCCAGGGGTGGGTGCTGAAAGAGGGCGAGGAAAGCATACGGGCGTTTGCCCAGCCCTGGTCGAAGCACTCTTGGGGGGCCCTCCCAGGCGCCCCCCGCCCTCCGACCTTGGCCAGCCAGGGCTTGGCTGTGGTGCTGTTGTGCCCCTGGCGTCTGACCGCCGTCCCCTCCGCGGCCGCAGGCTTCACCGGGCACTTATGCCAGTACGACGTGGACGAGTGCGCGAGCACGCCCTGCAAGAACGGCGCTAAGTGCCTGGACGGGCCCAACACCTACACCTGTGTGTGCACAGAAGGTGCGGGGCCGCGGGCCCAGGCAGAGCGGACGGGCAGAAGCAGGCGGGTGGGGTCCAGGGAAGCGGGGGTGGTCGGAGGCTGAGGCTGGGAGGGTGACCCCTCAGTGTGGAGCCAGGGGCCAAGAGCGGGGTGAGTCTCGGAGCCCAGGCAGTTGGGTGGGGGCTGCTCCAGACATCCCCAGGCTTCCCCGGCGGGAACAAGACGACCCTGGGTCTGGTTGGTGGCGTCCTGGACAGCCTGGTAACCCAGGGAGTGACCCCCCGTTCCTGCAGGCTACACGGGGCCCCACTGCGAGGTGGACATCGACGAGTGTGACCCTGACCCTTGCCACTACGGGTCTTGCAAGGACGGCGTGGCCACCTTCACCTGCCTGTGCCAGCCGGGCTACACGGGCCACCACTGCGAGGCCAACATCAACGAGTGCCACAGCCAGCCCTGCCGCCACGGGGGCACCTGCCAGGACCGCGACAACTCCTACCTCTGCTTCTGCCTCAAGGGGACCACAGGTGCCTGGCCGCGGGCTGATGTGGGGGGGCAGTGGAGCTGCTGATGAGGGAGCAGGAGCGGTGAACGCCTCTGGTCTCCCGCCCCCAGGACCCAACTGCGAGATCAACCTGGACGACTGCGCGAGCAACCCCTGCGACTCCGGCACGTGTCTGGACAAGATTGACGGCTACGAGTGTGCGTGTGAGCCGGGCTACACAGGTGAGCTGCCCAGGATGCGGGGGCCGCAGGGCTCTGCCCTCCTGCCCGCGTAAGGGCCTTGGTTCCGGGGCTGAAGCTGCGCTCGCAGGTCAGGTTCTCGGGACTGTGAAGGCCCAGCTATCGGGGCAGAAGCTCTGGAAGGACTGGGGAGGGGGGTGTCTAGCTGACGCCGGGATGGACATCCTTGAGCCTGGCGTGCCAGGCGAGAGCCAGCCCGGCAGGCCCGCAGTGGAGCCAGGCTCCCGCTGCACGTGCTGCCCTCTGCCCTGAGCGCGTTCAGCTTGGGCCCTGGGCTGGGTCCGGGGAGCAGAGCTCGTGTCAGTGAGAGTCTGTATACCTCGGGAGGGCCTGGGATGGAGCCGAGGGGCGGGGGGCAGCGGGGCGGGGCTCACGGAGAGGGAGACTGAGGCTCCGAGGGTGGGACCCCGGCCCCTTTCCCACTCCTGGTGTCTGAGCTGCCGGGCCGCCCGCAGGGAGCATGTGTAACATCAACATTGATGAGTGCGCAGACAGCCCCTGCCACAACGGGGGCACCTGCGAGGACGGCATCAACGGCTTCACCTGCCGCTGCCCCGAGGGCTACCACGACCCCACCTGCCTGTCCGAGGTCAACGAGTGCAGCAGCAATCCCTGCATCCACGGGGCCTGCCGCGACAGCCTCAACGGGTGCGTCCTCGGAGCCCCGGATGGGGGCGGGGGGAGGGGGGAGCCAGCAGGTCCTGGGCAGCGCGGGTGGGTGCTCCCCCAGGACGGGTCTGCCGTGGGAGCCCTGAAGGGTGCCGTGCGTGGGCGCTCACTCGGCTCCTGATCTGAGCCCAGTGCTGCCCTCAGCTCCAAGTGCGCCTGGGGAATGCGTCTGTGCCGAGGCAGCAGACAGAGGTGAAACCTCTGAGATCTGTGAGAGTGGAACGGCAGTCTTGGGTCATGTCCGAGCTCCTTTGGGCCACAGCTCAGTTGGTAAAGAATCTGCCTGCAATGCAGGAGACCCAGGTTTGATTCCTGGGTCGGGAAGATCCCCTGGAGAAGGAAATGGCAATCCACTCCAGGATTCTTGCCTGGGAAATCCCACGGACAGAGGAGCCTGGCGGACTACAGTCCATGGGTCTGCGAGAGTCGGACATGACTTAGCGACTAAACCACCACTGAGCTTCCGTAAGGAGGCTGCTAAGGTCATCCGAGGCTGAGGCTGGGGGCCGGGGCCTTCAGTCCCACCCTGACCGCCGAGGCCGGGAGAGGGGCTGCAAGGCAAGTTAATCACCAACGGCCAGTGATTTATTCAGTCACGCCTGTGTGAGGAAACCTCCATAAAAAGGCCAAGCGCGGGAGTTCAGAGAGCTTCCGGGCTGGAGAACAGGTGCTGGGATGGGGCGGGGACCAGCTCTGAACCTTTCCCATCCCTGGCCCCGTATGTCTCTGCCACTGGGCTGTTCCAAGTTTCCCTGCTTATAGTAAACCATTTATCTAGTAAGTCAAACAGTTTTTCTGAGTTTTGTGAGCCATTTCTGCAAATTTCAAAGGAAGAGGTCTGGTTCCTGGCTGTTTGGTCAGAAGTAGAGGTGACAACTTGGGGCTTGGGGTTAGTGTCTGACCTGGGGCCAGTCTGGTGGGCCCCAGCCCTCGCTGGGGGGTGTGGGGGCACTCTGCGCTGACTCCAGACAGTGCCAGGACCGGGTTGCAGGACACCCCGCTGGTGTGGGAACCCCACCCATATATGTGGTGCCAGAATATTAGAGTGTAGAGAGGCCGACTTTTAGTTTCTGACACCCACTACGTGCCTGGCATTGGCTCTGTCTAAATGGAGTGATGGACATGGATGGGGTGATGGACGTGGATGGGGTGATGGACGTGGATGGGGTGATGGACGTGGATGGGGTGATGGACGTGGCAGGGACCACATGCCCTCATTTTGCACAGAGTGTAAGCAGCCTGTTGAGGGTCACGCAGCGAGTGAACAGTGGATGGTCTCCTGACCGCTGCTCTGAACTGGGCACTGACCCTCACCCTTACCACTGTCTTAGTCAAGACGGGCTATTTAAAGTCGCTTAAAGGACTCCAAGGGTCAGAGTGGACCAGTGTCTCCATCTAATCACGTCGTAGGACGGTGGCAGAGTCTGGGGTGCTCCCAGCCTAGGCCCCGCCCTCTCTGGCCACACCTGAGCCGCTGTGTGGTCGCCTGTGCAGGTACAAGTGTGACTGTGACCCCGGGTGGAGCGGGGCCAACTGTGACGTCAACAACGACGAGTGTGAGTCGAACCCCTGCGTCAACGGGGGCACCTGCAAGGACATGACCAGCGGCTACGTATGCGCCTGCCGGGAGGGCTTCAGTGGTGAGTGGGGCGGGGGCTCCTGGTCCCAGAGCAGGCCCCGGGGGCAGCGCGGAGCCCGGACACAGGTCAGCGGTTGAGGCCCCCGGTGGCTCCTGGACCCACTGGTGTGGGCTCCGAGGCCCCAGGCTCAGAGCAGGGCTTTTCCTCCACACCAGGCAGAACTTGGCCACAGCACCTGGGGTGACGGCCACACTGACTGCCTTTCCTCTCTCTCCAGGCCCCAACTGCCAGACCAACATCAACGAGTGCGCATCCAACCCGTGTCTCAACCAGGGCACGTGTATCGATGACGTGGCAGGGTACAAATGCAACTGCCTCTTGCCCTACACAGGTATGGGCGGGGCCTGGGTGTGGGCGGGGCCTGGAGGGCGGGGCGGGGCCTGGGTGTGGGCGGGGCCTCAGCAGGTAGTGCAGGTGGCTGAGGTGCAAGGTGGCCTTCCTGGGCTGGCCTTGTCTGCATCCCTCTGCCGGCATCCCAGTACAGAGGCCCTGCTCAGTACTCCGAGCCTCAGGCCTGGCTGTGTTAGGGCCTCGCCCTGCAGGTGTCTTTGCTCACAAAGTAACCAGGTGCCTGGAAAAAGTTGGAGCACAGCTAAGTCCCTACTTGGGGGACCTGCCCGGGAGGTGGCCCCCTTGGCGGCGGAGCTGGGCCTGGGCTGTTGGCCTCCCCTCCTGCCGTTCAGGCTGCCCTCCCCATCGCTGGCCAGGCCTGAGGGAGTCCTTTGATGGCGGGCCCTCTTTGTGTGGGTAAACAAGGAACCCTGTGTTCCCGCTGAGAGTGGCGGGAGACTGGTCCCTGGCGTCTCAGCTGCCGCCATTGGCCTGGCCGGGGGAGGCGGGATGTGGGTCCCCTCCTAAGGAGAGATTTGCCAAGTGTTAAAAAATGGAAGTCACGACCGCTCAGGCCACCAGGCCCCCTGGGGATGGGGCAGGGGGTGCTGCCGTTAGGGACGGTCCTGAGAGGCCCCCATCGGCAGGGGCGGGGCCCCTGACTGTGGTTCTCACGACATTGGCGGCCTGTGGCCCGAGCAGTGTTTTCTTTGACCGAAGCTGGGGACCTGGACTTTCTCTCCTCCGCCGGTTAGGAAACGCCCCCAGCCCCGGTGGCCGCCCAGGGCGCACCCGGGTCCCTTTCGGACGCGCTGCCATCGGGGCTGGCGGCTGGTGGGGAGGAGCCGGCCTGTGCTGACCCGCTTCCCGTCCGCCTGCTTCCTGCTTCCCGCTGCACAATTGTCGGAAACCCTGGCGAATTTCCTGCCGGCTGGGGTCACTGTGGAAACCGATAGAATGAAAGGCCCTGGACGGTCACCCCCGCAGGCTGGGGAGATAATGGGCGGCCGGGAAGATAACGCTTCCTCGCGGGCTCGGGACACGGCCCCGTGGGCCGTAAACAGGAAACCCCGCGTTGGGCTCTCAGGGAGGAGAAATCAGCCGGTGTGCCGGGGTCCAGGCAGACTCCCGCTCCCACCCGGGGTCCTAACGCCACATCTGGCGCCCCCTGATAAGCAGCCACGCTGAGGGCTGAGGCTGGCACATGCTCTGCAGTCACAGCCTTTGTTCAGGGGCCTCCCAAGGTGGCACTCGCCGCCCGAGGCACCGAACCCCTGGATCAGCTCCCAGGTGCCGGATCAGTGCAGGGCCCTCTGCCACCAGCAGGGCATGAGGCTGGGAGCGGGTCCAGGGCCCCTGTGACGTTGTGTGGGTGGGGGGGGGTGTCAGGCCCAGCCCAGCCCTTGCTCCTGGCACTATCGGGAGGTGAGGCCCAGGCCGTTTCCCCAGCCTGTGGGGGCCCAAGGGTTCCCCTGGTTCACGTTCGGGTGCTGACTTAGCCAGGCGCTCACACAGCCAAGGTCCCAGTGGCACGCAGTATGTACCCCCCCGCCCCTCACGCAGGGCAACCAAATTTGCTTTGACGTTAGATCCACCCGTTGACGGTGGCTGCCGGGGCCTCTGTCAGGACGTGCCCGGGGCATTGACCTCTGGCCAGGGCTCCCTGGGCGCTCACCGTCCTGCCTCTCCCTCCCAGGGGCCACGTGTGAGGTGGTGCTGGCCCCGTGTGCCCCCGGGCCCTGTAGAAACGGTGGCGAGTGTCGGGAGTCAGAGGATTACGAGAGCTTTTCCTGCGCCTGCCCCGCAGGCTGGCAGGGTGAGCCCAGGGGATGGGGGGACATGGGGAGGCTCAGAGAGGTTCGGGGGCCACGGACTGGCAGGGTGAGCCCAGGGGATGGGGGGACATGGGGAGGCTCAGAGAGGTTTGGGGGCCACGGGCTGGCAGGGTGAGCCCAGGGGGTGGGGGAGGCTTTGGGACTTCAGGCATCTCTTGTTAGTGAGCCCCCGTCGTTGGGGGATGAGCCAGTGGGCTGCAGGGCCCTCCCAGGCTTGAAGGTCTGTCTCCCGCTTGGCTCCAAGGTCGGGGGGCAGTCCTTTGGAGAGCCCCTTCTTCCCCTGACACCCCCAGAGGGTCGTCCTGTGGCGGCGGAGGGCCTGCTCTGGGGGGCGGGCAGGAGGGGGCCCGTGGGCACCGGCTGAGCCAGCAGCTCCCCCCTCCCCCCATCCAGGGCAGACCTGTGAGATTGACATCAATGAGTGCGTGAAGAGCCCGTGCCGCGCGGGCGCCTCCTGCCAGAACACCAATGGCGGCTACCGCTGCCACTGCCAGGCGGGCTACACGGGGCGCAACTGCGAGACAGACATCGACGACTGCCGGCCCAGTGAGTGGCTGGCCGGCCCTGCCCGCCTCTGAGACATCCAGACCGGTGTCCCCAGGCGGGCACGGGGCCGGGAGCGTGCCAGGGTCACGTGGGAGGGTGGCAGGGCAGTGCCTGGGTGCAGGCTTGGCGCTGGCAGCCCTCTCGGTCCAGCTGGGCCTTTCAGAGGGGCGCCCGGTTGGGGGCTGGAGGAAGTGCTGGAGCGGGGCTGGGTGGCTGTTGTCAACCAGCAAGGTGGTCGCAGGTGGTCACAGGGGCTCTGGTGCCAGGCTGATGGGCCCCCAACTCGACAATCCTAGCATCTCCCAGCCAGACTCCCGGCTTCTCTCCCTGGGGCCGCAGCTGCCCCTTCCAGCGTGGCTCTTAACCTAGTTCTTGTCCTGACCCCTGAGGAATGGGGCTCACACAACCTGGGGTCCAAGAGAGGCCAAGCACCTCATCTGGCATTGCCAGCAGGCAGGGAAGGCTGTGGCCACGGCCTGTGCGGGTCTCACTGTTAAGCCTGCCCGCCCCTATGGCCTGGGGACCGGGAGCTCGTGGGGCCGTGTAGACCCCAAGCTCCTGATGCGGCCTGCTGGATTGGGGGCTCCCCGCGGAACACCCCGGGGGCAGTGCCAGGAGCCCCCAGCTGTGGTTGCCCTGGCAGAGGGGTGGTGCCCAGCTCTCAGGCCTGCCCTCCGGTCCCCTTGCAGACCCGTGCCACAACGGGGGCTCCTGCACAGACGGCATCAACACGGCCTTCTGCGACTGCCTGCCCGGCTTCCAGGGCGCCTTCTGCGAGGAGGACATCAACGAGTGTGCCAGCAACCCCTGCCGCAACGGCGCCAACTGCACCGACTGCGTGGACAGCTACACCTGTACCTGCCCCACGGGCTTCAGCGGCATCCACTGCGAGAACAACACGCCCGACTGCACGGAGAGGTGCGAGGGTGCGGCGGGCGCAGGGCGGCAGGCCGGCTCCGGGGCCACGCACGGCGCCGGCAGATCTGTGTCCCCGGCAGGGGCCCGCCTGGGGTGGGCACCCGGGGCCAGTGAGGCACGGTTCCTCCTGAAAGGGCAGTTGTCCATCCATCCGTATGGCTTGGAAGCAGGAACCCTGTGGTTTATCCTGAGGAACTGCTGTTTCTCCATCAGCCGGGGACCTCGTCACTGGCCTGTGTCTTTATTTGCCTTGGCTGCCAGGAAGCTCGGCATGGAATGTCACACTTGTCCCTGGTTTCTAGCACGTATCTCCCATGCGGTCTGGTTTCTTCTCATTTTTGTCTTGAGTGCGACATATCTGTGTGTGATATGAAGCTCCTCTCAGCACGAGTTCTAAAGAAGGCAGAGGAAGGAGTGTGGTGTGGTGTGAGGGTCTGGGGTCCCCTGGGACTCCTATTGGCCTCCCCAAGGTCAGCCAGGCAGTTGCCGGCCCATCCTGGTGCCCAGACCCGTGTGGCCACCCTGATTGGCGGTGAGGGTGCCGGCGTGGACGTACTTGCTTGGTCAGGGTCCTGCCCGCAACTCACCACCCCCTTGCTGCCTGCCCACCTCCAGCTCCTGCTTCAACGGCGGTACCTGCGTGGACGGCATCAACTCCTTCACCTGCCTGTGTCCCCCCGGCTTCACGGGCAGCTACTGCCAGCATGATGTCAACGAGTGTGACTCTCGGCCCTGCCTGCACGGCGGCACCTGCCACGACAGCTACGGCACCTACAAGTGCACCTGCCCGCAGGGCTACACGGGTCTCAACTGCCAGGTGAGGGCGGCCCCCTCGCCTGGGCTCCCGCTGGCTCTGCCACCCTGGGGAGCCGAGGAGGGGGCAGCTAAGCAGGCAGGGGTGGTGAGCAGGGCGGCTTCCAGCTCAGGCAGCAGAGGCTTACAGAGCGAGAAGAAGGACCAGCCGATGCAGGGGAAGGCGGCTGAACGCCAGTGTTTTCATGAAGAATATGTTGAAGTATCAAAGGTTTATCTTCTTTAAAGATGTTCAGACACAAAACACCAGTTAGAAGAGAGCTGTTTCCTGCTTAAGGAAAATCTTCCTTCAAGGAAAGGCAGCCTGTTGTCTGGATTCACCACCAGGGGCCCAGAGCAAGAGAGGGGCCCCCACAGCTCCCGGTTGCTCCTGAGCGGGGGGCGCCCCGTGGGCCCCGGTGTCCATTTCTGTGGATTGGGAGGGTGGGTGTCACGGGCCACCTTGGGCATGAGGGTCTCTGGCGCCCGTGGGTGTCCCCCGCCGGGTGGGCTGGGCCCGTGGGAGCCGGCGGGTGGGGCGTGAGCAAGGCTGCCCCCTCGTCCCCAGACCCTTGTGCGCTGGTGCGACTCCTCCCCCTGCAAGAACGACGGCCGGTGCTGGCAGACCAACGCGATGTATCGTTGCGAGTGCCACAGCGGCTGGACTGGTCTCTACTGCGACGTGCCCAGCGTCTCCTGTGAGGTGGCCGCGCGGCAGCAAGGTAACCCGCCCGGGCTCCTCTGTGCCCACCGGGCGTCCGAACCCTGAGGTTAGGGGGTGTGCTGCCCCAGGCAGCCCCTGGGGAAGGGAGCCGGGGCCTCACGCTCCGCCCGCCGCGCCCCCCGCAGGCATCAACGTGACCCACTTGTGCCGGAACGGGGGCCTCTGCATGAACGCGGGCAACACACACCACTGCCACTGCCAGGCTGGCTACACGGGCAGCTACTGCGAGGAGCAGGTGGACGAGTGCTCGCCCAGCCCCTGCCGGAACGGGGCCACCTGCACCGACTACCCCGGCGGCTACTCCTGCGAGGTGGGCGCCCGTCCTGGGGCGGCGGGGATGTGTCTGGCCTGAGTGCCACCGAGGGCCAGGCCCTGGGCTGGGAGCCGGTGCGGCAGGGAAGACTAGACCCATAGACACGCGAGGCGTTCAGTCCCATCAGGGGAGGGCTGGGTAATCAGGAAAGACTGCCTGGAGGAGCTGTCTTCTGGGGGCACCTGGAAGAGGAAGACCCTGAGAAGTAGGGCAGGGTCTCCCCTCCCCCAGATTCACCCACCTCTACACCAACTCCCACCTTGGGCAGCGAACCGTAGCTTACCAGGGCCCTTACCAGGGTCTCCATCTGGGTCCTTCCGGTAGGAGGGCTTTGTGAGGCAAGAGGGCAGCTCAAGGGGCCCCGTCGGCCCTCACAGGGTAGAGGGCCACACCCCGGCTGCCCGCTGAGCCTCAGGCCCACGCCTCGCTGTCCCCCTGCAGTGTGTGGCCGGCTACCACGGGGTGAACTGCTCCGAGGAGGTGAATGAGTGCCTGTCCCAGCCCTGCCGGAACGGCGGCACCTGCATCGACCTCACCAACACCTACAAGTGTTCCTGCCCCCGTGGCACGCAGGGTAGGCTCGGCCACACCTGGGGAGGGGGCTCGGGGGCCTGGTTGACAGCGTCCACCTCCTGGGCGTCTGACCCCCGGCCAGGGTGGGGGTGGGGCACACCTGCGGGAGGCGTGGGGCTTGAGAGCGGCCACGTGGGGTCTGATGGTGCCCGGCCTGCAGGCGTGCACTGCGAGATCAACGTGGATGACTGCAACCCCCCCATTGACCCCGTGTCCCGGGGCCCCAAGTGCTTTAACAACGGCACCTGCGTGGACCAGGTGGGCGGCTACAGCTGCACCTGCCCGCCTGGCTTCGTGGGTGAGCGCTGCGAGGGTGACGTCAACGAGTGCCTGTCCAACCCCTGCGACGCCCGCGGCACCCAGAACTGCGTGCAGCGCGTCAATGCCTTCCACTGCGAGTGCCGCGCCGGCCACACCGGTGGGTGCCGCCCTGGTAGGGGGCGGGCGGCGCTGGGGCAGGGGGTCAGCGCCTCACGCCACTCTCGCCCCAGGACGCCGCTGCGAGTCGGTCATCAATGGCTGCAAGGACAGGCCCTGCAAGAACGGGGGCAGCTGTGCGGTGGCCTCCAACACGGCCCGCGGGTTCATCTGCAAATGCCCGGCGGTAGGTGCCCTGGGCAGCAGTGAGTCGGACATGACTGAGCGACTTCACTTTCACTTTCTTTTGCGTGTGGGGAACACTGTTACCATTAACGACCAACATTAGTATGCTGCTACGTGATCTATACACTGACACGTTAAGTCCAGCCCCCTCCATGTTGTGTGTTCCTCGGGTCTGACACACACGCGTTGCCATGAGACCCCTGTTGCAGGATCCCAGGGGGTCGTCCGTTTGCCCTAAAAGTGCCCCAGGCTCCTACTGTGCCCTTCCCTCCCAACTCCTGGGAACCCCCCCAACCCCCGAGCGTTTCATGTTGACTTTCTTTGAAAGGAAAGGCCGCCAGCCCTTGTGGGCGGGTGGGGGGTGCTGGGGCGCGGCCGGGTGGGTCCCCAGCGCCTAGGGGGCCGGCCCACCCCTCACGCTTGTGCGGCCCCTCCCGGCAGGGCTTTGAGGGCGCCACGTGTGAGAACGACGCCCGCAGCTGCGGGAGCCTGCGGTGCCTGAACGGCGGCACGTGCATCGCGGGCCCGCGCAGCCCCACCTGCCTGTGCCTGGGCCCCTTCACCGGCCCCGAGTGCCAGTTTCCAGCCAGCAGCCCCTGCGTGGGCGGCAGCCCCTGCTACAACCAGGGCGTCTGCGAGCCCACCGCCGAGAGCCCCTTCTACCGCTGCCGCTGCCCCGCCAAGTTCAACGGGCTCCTGTGCCACATCCTGGACTACAGCTTTGGGGGCGGCGTGGGCCTCGACATCCCCCCGCCGCAGGTCGAGGAGACCTGCGAGCTCCCCGGCTGCCGCGAAGAGGCCGGCAACAAGGTCTGCAGCCTGCAGTGCAACAACCACGCGTGCGGCTGGGACGGCGGCGACTGCTCCCTCAACTTTGACGACCCCTGGCAGAACTGCACGCAGTCCCTGCAGTGCTGGAAGTATTTCAGCAACGGCCGCTGCGACAGCCAGTGCAACTCGGCCGGCTGCCTCTTCGACGGCTTCGACTGCCAGCGCGCGGAAGGCCAGTGCAAGTAAGGCCCTCGGGGACGCCACTCAGCGGGGCTGGGGGGCCGTCCGCTCACCAGCAGGAGCGGAGCAGGTGGGAGGAGGACCGCGGGCTTCGCGGGCAGGGCAGCGCACAGCCGGGTGCTGGCCGAGGGTCTCCGGGTGGACGGGGGCAGGCGTGGCCCCCGGGGACCCAGGCGCGGAGGGAGCCCTGAGCTGGTGCCGTGTGCCCGCAGCCCCCTGTACGACCAGTACTGCAAGGACCACTTCAGGGACGGGCACTGCGACCAGGGCTGCAACAGCGCGGAGTGCGAGTGGGACGGGCTGGACTGCGCGGAGCACGTGCCCGAGCGGCTGGCGGCCGGCACGCTGGTGCTGGTGGTGCTCATGCCGCCGGAGCAGCTGCGCAACCGCTCCCTGCACTTCCTGCGAGAGCTCAGCCGCCTGCTGCACACCAACGTGGTCTTCAAGCGCGACGCCAGCGGCCAGCAGATGATCTTCCCCTACTACGGCCGCGAGGAGGAGCTGCACAAGCACCCCATCAGGCGCTCTGTGGACGGCGGGGCCCCGCTGCTCCCGGGCGGCGGGGGCGGACGCCGGCGCAGGGAGCTGGACCCCATGGACATCCGTGGGTGAGCGAGCCCCTGCCGGCAGCCTGCACGCCCTGACCCTCAGGGTTGCGCCTCCCAGAGAGGGCAGCGCTGTCCTCCCGAGATGGGGAAAGAGACCTGGGATTTCAGCTCCCGTGACAGGCGAGCGGCAGAGACAGCATTCCTGCTCGGGCTCAGCTCTCAGGGAGGGGAGGGACTGGGCTCTGGACACCTCCGTCCTCCCGAGATGGGGACCAAGGCTACCCGCGGCTCTGCAGGAGCCCCACGGTCCGCGGGGCAGCACCCCGAGGAGTGCTCGTGTGAGTGCCACACGTGCCCTGCTGGTGCTGGACATGGCAGGCCCTCAGGGCCACTGTGCACCTCCAGGCTTGTTCCTGTCCGGACCCAGCTCTCTGCCTCCCCAGGCTGGCCCCTGGGGTTCTGGGAGCACCCTCTCTCCCCGCCCATCCATCAGGGTGACACTACAGGAGCCAGAGCTGGTCCCTGGGGGCGGGCTGGCCGGGTGGGCACTGGGAGGGGCCAGGGCCCAAGCCCCCTGACCTATGCTCACCCCCACCCAGGTCCATCGTCTACCTGGAGATTGACAACCGGCAGTGCGTCCAGTCATCCTCCCAGTGCTTCCAGAGCGCCACGGATGTGGCCGCCTTCCTAGGTGCACTGGCCTCGCTGGGCAGCCTCAACATCCCCTACAAGATCGAGGCCGTGCAGAGTGAGTAGCTGGCCCTGCTCCCCAAGCTGTGCTCTTGCGGGGTCTCTGGATTGTCCTGGGAGGGGGTATGCGTGGGAGGCGGTCTACCAGCTCCCTGCCCCCACCCCGGGGATGCTCTTGTTCTTCAAGCCAGTTGCCACCCACAGGGGCGTGTGTCACGCCATCCAGAGTTTGGGGAGCGCTTTTCCGGGGTTTCCCACCGGGCACGCTCTCCCTCCCGAAGCAACAGCTGTCAGCGTGGCTGACCCAGGGGAGTCCGCACATCCGCCCGCAAGGTGGGGGGAGACTTTTCTCGCCCCACCCATTCCTCCCGATTTTTCTTTGTTGGGTATTATTTCAAAATCATTATGGCTTTTTTTTTTTTTTTAAGAAAAAAAAGAGAAAGCAAAGAATTGATCGATGTCATGTGAAGTGTTGAAGTTTGTATCTGGAAAATCCCCCTAAATCCTTTGTCTTAACAGCTCGATGCGAGTGCAGCGATTTGAAGTTGCCTAATCCTTCTCCCTTAAAGGAGAAAAAAGTGAAAGCTGTCTCCAGATAGCCGGCTGGTGCAGCAGAGAATCTAGCGATAGTTTGCAATTCTGATTAATCGCGTAGAAAATGACCTTATTTTGGGGGGCGGGATGGAGGCGAGCGGGCCGCGGAGCCAGCGCGCTGCCCCCGGCCGCCGTCAGCAAGAAGAAGCGGCGCGAGCCCCTCGGCGAGGACTCCGTGGGCCTCAAGTCAGTGGACGCGCCGGCCGTCTGGGTCGGGGGCGGGCTTGCGGGAGGCGGGGCTGCCCCCTCCCGGCTCCGCGGCCCCCTCCTTGGGCCCTGGGCGTGCGCACGGCCTGGAAGGGGCGGGGAACCTCCCCGGGCCCCCGCCCCCCGCTTAGTCCCACCTCCCCCCGACTCCGTCACCCCCAGGCCGCTGAAGAACTCCTCGGACGGCGCCCTCATGGACGACAACCAGAACGAGTGGGGCGACGAGGGCCTGGAGGCCAAGAAGTTCCGGGTGAGTCGGGGCTCCGGGGCCCCCGCCCCGCCCCGCCCCGCCCCACAGGGCATGACCCTCTGCTCCACCCCCTTCCTTAGTTCGAGGAGCCCGTGGTCCTGCCCGACCTGGACGACCAGACAGACCACCGGCAGTGGACTCAGCAGCATCTGGACGCCGCCGACCTGCGCGTGTCTGCCATGGCCCCCACGCCTCCCCAGGGCGAGGCCGACGCCGACTGCCTGGACGTGAACGTCCGCGGGCCGGGTGGGTGCGGCTGGCCAGACACGGCTGCCCCTAACCCGGGGCTCCACCCCCAGGCGCCTGGTGGCTGGGCAGCCCGCGCTTCCCTGACCTCGTGACCCGCCCGCCTCTCTGTCCCAAGCCTCAGGGATGGTACCTGAAAACGCCCGCGCCTCAGAGGGGGTGGGGACCCCCAGGAGTTGCTCGGCCTCCTGGCTGCCTCCCCTCTCGGAGAGCTGGCCTCAAAGCGCGCTTTGCCCTCAGAGTTGACTTCTTTCAAAATGCGTCTTTTGAGACACCCAGAGTGCCAGTTAGCTTACCTCCTCTGTCTCCTGGACGGGACCATGGGTGAAGGTCTCGAGCAGGGCAGGAAGAGGAGCCCACCTGCTACCTGGCAGCTGGACTTGGTTCTACCCTCGGGGAGCTTGGACAGATTGCGTTGGCGCTGGGCAGTGTGGCCGTGTGCACTGGGCCTCCGTGGGCCCCGTGTCCACAGGGTCGCGCCCCCGCTGAGGCCTGTTCCCCCCGGGAGCAGCTGCCAGGGGCCAGCCTTCCTGACCTGGCCCCGTCCCTGTCCTGCCTGCCCCCTGCAGACGGCTTCACGCCCCTCATGATCGCCTCCTGCAGCGGAGGGGGCCTCGAGACAGGCAACAGCGAGGAAGAGGAGGACGCGCCTGCGGTCATCGCAGACTTCATCTACCAGGGCGCCAGCCTGCACAACCAGACGGACCGCACCGGTGAGACCGCCCTGCACCTGGCCGCCCGCTACTCGCGCTCCGACGCGGCCAAGCGCCTGCTGGAGGCCAGTGCAGACGCCAACATACAGGACAACATGGGCCGCACCCCGCTGCATGCAGCCGTGTCTGCCGACGCGCAGGGCGTCTTCCAGGTGGGCAGCCACTCACGTGCCCTTCTGCGCACCCTCGCCTGCCTTCCCTCCTTCCTGGTCTGGCCCCAGAGCCCTGATTCTAAGCCTGGCCAGAGCAGGGGCAGTTGGGATTTCCCCCCCCCACCCCGAACCTTTGCATCCTGGGGCGTGAGGCCAGGGAGGGTGTCAAATCCCCTGTGTCGTCCCCTTGGGGCAGCCAGGCTGGTGGCACCACAGCAGGAGAGGCTGCAGGGGCCGGGCCTCCTCACCCTCACCCAAGACAGGCCCCTCCCCTGCACCTGCCTCTGCCGGCCCCCACGCCCTCACTGCTTTGGCTGGAGGCATCGGTTGCCTCTGGATGTGGGAAGAAGGGCTAGAGGCTGCTGCTTGCTGCCTGCAAGCGGCAGTGGGGGGGAGGGGGCCTCTGGCCTTGCTGGGCTTCCAGGATGAGGATGGATTAGGGATGTGGGTGCCTGGGTCTCTGGGGAGCATCCCTGGCGGAAGCAGCTTTTGAAAGCTGCCAGCCCGTCCACCGGCCACAAACCCCCAGGCCCCAGGCCATGCTGCTCTGCACAGACAGGCAGGTAAACGGGGCACAGATGGGGGTGTCACAAAAGTCTAATGATTTCCGACATGTTGTCTTTTATGGAAATGAGAGATTGGGGACAATTTAAACGAGCCCCTGGAGGCAGGCCCTGGCCGCGTTTGCCCGGGCAGTCTCTGTGGCACGTAGAGACATTCCCTTGGGCGCTTCTTGGGGTGAGGCCAGTCCCCACACGGCTCTTCCCCAGCTCCTTTCATCCCCCCTCCCGCCCCTGAAACAGTGATCATCCTTCTCTCTCATGCTCTGGCCCCACGGCTCCAGCAGCGCCTGGTGGAGTTCTGCCCACTCCCCGGGCTCCCACGCCACGTGTGTCCAGGCTCCCTGGGGCCGTCTGACCCCAGAGGGCTGCATCCGCGTCAGGGTTTGGGTCCCACGCACGCGTCCCGGAGCAGGCAGGGACCTCACGCTCACACTTGCTGAGCCCGAGACCTTCCTTGTGGTCCAGATCCTGATCCGGAACCGAGCCACCGACCTGGATGCCCGCATGCACGACGGCACGACCCCGCTGATCCTGGCTGCCCGCCTGGCCGTGGAGGGCATGCTGGAGGACCTCATCAACTCCCACGCCGACGTCAATGCTGTGGACGACCTGGGTGAGCCCAGCTGGGCCGGTCCGAGGGAGGGGGCACGCCATGGCCGCCTGCCGACCCCTGACCTATCTGCCGACCCCTGACCCACCCTCTGCTCCCTTCATAGGCAAGTCCGCCCTGCACTGGGCGGCCGCGGTGAACAACGTGGAGGCCGCTGTCGTGCTGCTGAAGAACGGGGCCAACAAGGACATGCAGAACAACAAGGTGGGCTGGCTGGCGAGATACTTCCCCTCTCCCGCTCCTTTCCGACTGGGGGACCCCGAGCCATGACTTCAGCTTCGGGCCTTGGCTCCTTAACCCATAAAGTCCCAGGAGAAGCCCCGGGGAAACAGAGACGTGGACCCTGTAGTGGGTGCCCTTGTGGTCAGCGCTCCCTGCCTCCATCTGGCCACATTTCCAGTCCCCTACCGGGCCCAGGACACGGGCAGCTGCAGCTTTCCCCCCCATGTCACTGTGACCTGCGACGTCACCTCTGTTCTTGGCTGTCACTGGCCGGGGCAGGTTGACTGAGATGGTGCATGCTGGGCCAAGAGGCTGGTGGGCGGGGTGGGGGGTTCTGCATTGCAAGGCCCCCAGATGGAACGGTGAGTGGCCACCTTCCACACGTGGACCACTTCTGGTCTCTCTCAGCCTCGCCGCGGTCTGTCCCGACAGTCTAAGTATGCTCTTTCCTTCCTGCCCAACCCCAGCCTGGCCCTGCATCTCCTGAGCTTGTCTTTGGGCTCCTGTGTCCCCGGACCTGCCCCTTCCTTCACAGACCCCTGAAGGGACTCCTGTCCTGGGGGAGGGGTACGGGGGGTGCTGTTGGGCCCGGTCACTCCTGAGGCTGCCATGGGGCAGAGGCATCATCCCGCCTCCTGCTGGGGAGATAGGCGGCAGGGACCGCCGTGGCGGGGCGGCAGCTGTGGCCAAGGCCATGTGTGTGCCAGGCAGACACCGTCCGGCCTCACCCCACACAGCAGCCTCAGGGGGCATACACTGCATTCCCGCTGTACTGATGAGAAAACCATGCCCTGGGGACAGAGCTAAGACGTCAGGGTTTCTTGGGGACCAGCTGGTGCCCACGGACACACTTTACTGACCCCGAAGCCCTTACTGACCCCGAATTGTGGCAGGGTCTCCATCCGTGTGGTTTTGAAGGAGGGAGGCACAGTCTGTTAGATTTCCTGTGGGGTCTCTGACCCTGTGAAGGTGGAGCCCCACTGGTTTAGAATATAGAACCCCACAGGTCTTCTGGGTGGGTCTTAGAAGATGCATCTAAGGCATTTTTGTCTGTAAGACGTAATAGTGATGGTAGGACCCTAGGGGGAGGGTTGAGATGAGTGGGGCAGAGGCGGGGCTGACCGCTGGTCCCTCTGATGACCGATGACCCCTGCACCTGCCCCTGTCTGCTCCCCCCAGGAGGAGACGCCCTTGTTCCTGGCCGCCCGGGAGGGCAGCTACGAGACAGCCAAGGTGCTGCTGGACCATTTTGCCAACCGGGACATCACGGACCACATGGACCGCCTGCCTCGCGACATCGCGCAGGAGCGCATGCACCACGACATCGTGCGGCTGCTGGACGAGTACAGCCTGGTGCGCAGCCCCCCGCTGCACGGCGCCCCCCTGGGCGGCGCGCCCACCCTGTCGCCCCCGCTCTGCTCACCCAACGGCTACCTGGGCAACCTCAAGCCCCCCATGCAGGGCAAGAAGGCCCGCAAGCCCAGCACCAAGGGCCTGGCCTGCGGCGGCAAGGAGCCCAAGGACCTCAAGGCTCGGAGGAAGAAGTCCCAAGACGGCAAGGGCTGCCTGCTGGACAGCGGGAGCGTGCTTTCGCCCGTGGACTCCCTCGAGTCCCCCCACGGCTACCTGTCAGACGTGGCCTCCCCGCCCCTCCTGCCCTCCCCTTTCCAGCCGTCTCCCTCCGTGCCCCTCAACCACCTGCCTGGGATGCCCGAGGCCCACCTGGGCGTCAGCCACCTGAGTGTGGCAGCCAAGCCCGAGATGGCGGCGCTGAGTGGGGGCGGCCGGCTGGCCTTCGAGGCAGGGCCACCACGCCTCTCCCACCTGCCTGTGGCCTCTGGCACCAGCAGCATCCTGGGTGCCGGCGGCAGTGGGGGCGGTGGGGCTGTGAATTTCACAGTGGGTGGAGCCACGGGCTTGAATGGCCAGTGCGAGTGGCTATCCCGGCTGCAGAACGGCCTAGTGCCCAACCAGTACAACCCGCTGCGAGGGGGCGTGACGCCAGGCACCCTGAGCACACAGGCTGCCGGCCTGCAGCATGGCACGGTGGGCTCGCTGCACGCCCCCGCACTGTCCCAGGTGATGAGCTACCAGGCCCTGCCCAGCACGCGGCTGGCCTCCCAGCCTCACCTGGTGCAGACGCAGCAGCTGCAGCCGCAGCAGAACTTACAGATGCAGCCGCCGAGCATGCCGCCGCAGCCAAACCTGCCGCCGCAGCCACACCTCAGCGTGAGCTCAGCCGCCAGCGGCCACCTGGGCCGGAGCTTCCTGGCAGGGGAGCTGAGCCAGGCAGACATGCAGCCGCTGGGGCCCGCCAACCTGGCGGCACACACTGTCCTGCCGCAGGAAGGCCAGGTCCTGCCCACGTCGCTGCCGTCCACGCTGGCCCCGCCCATGACCACCGCCCAGTTCCTGACGCCCCCCTCCCAGCACAGCTACTCCTCCTCCCCTGTGGACAACACCCCCAGCCACCAGTTGCAGGTGCCCGAGCACCCCTTCCTCACCCCATCCCCCGAGTCCCCCGACCAGTGGTCCAGCTCCTCGCCACATTCCAACATCTCTGATTGGTCCGAGGGCATCTCCAGCCCGCCCACCAGCGTGCCGTCCCAAATCGCCCACGTCCCAGAGGCGTTCAAGTAAACAGCCGGCTGCCCCCAGGACCCTGCGCTTCCTTTCCCAAGCCCTGCTGGGGCGTGTGCGTGCGCTCCAGGGATGCTGGGGCTGACCAAAGGAGCTTTTTTTCAACAAATGTGTTTTTATACAAAATAAGAGGACAAGGATTTTTAATTTTTTTTTTTTAGTATTTATTTATGTACTTTTATTTTACATGGAAACACTGCCTTTTTATTTATATGTACTGTTTTGTATGGCATCAGGTAGAAACTTTTATCTGCTCCAAGAAAATAAACTAGTTCTCAGTCATGATTTTCCTACTTAGGATAAAGAGTCCTAGGTATTTGTAAAATATAAACAAAGATTCATGATGTGCAAATGCCATTTATTTATTGATTTCCTCTTTTTTGAATCCTGAAAGAAATGATGTCAGACAAGGGCGGTTTGAGCCAGCATTGTTTAGAAAGCTCCAGGGGTGCCCGGGGGCCTGCTTTGATTTCCCCAGACATCCCCTCACCCCCACCTCCAAACCTGGACCTCCCTCCTCCCAGGACCGCCTGCATCTTATGAAAAGATGCATCTAGAGAAAGAAAAGCAAGCCCTTTACCTTTTTGGCACGTGGGTTACTTGTACCTGAAGTAGGAAAGTAAAGTGTAAAATGATGTGGTTCGTGCATTTCGGTGTACTGTTAAACTTTTTAAAGATATGTCTCTCAAAACGTGTTCTTGGGGTATGCCAAGGGTACATTTCATGGTACCAATCATGAATCTTTGTTGCAGGTTCAGTATTACGTAGTTGTTCTTTGGTATTGTGAGTTCTTGTTCTTTCTGGAGGCTCCCCTGCCCCTCGCCCCCGCTGATGTTTAAGCATCATGTAAGAAGTTGGAGGTGTGGCCATGTGGTACCCACCTTGGACCCCACGTTGGGGAGGCCTCCCCCTTCCTGGGGAAAGACACTGCTGGGCTGCCCTGTTGGAGGCATCTCAACTTGAACTGCATCTCCCAGGTTCAGTGGAAGATGAACTGGCGCCCCTGGGGCCCAGTGCTGACGGGCCCAGTTTTTATAGGAGACTTGGAAAAACGTGGGCGCGTCCAGCCTCAGTGCTCAGAGACCCTGGTGCCAGGGCCTGGAGCACCCTGGGGTGCTCGGGTCACCAGGAGCCTGCTCGCGGGCCACCCCTTCCAGTTTAGGGGGTGGGTGTGCGCCCCGGGGTAGAGCAGGTTTTTACATTATCAAGTATAAGCCTGTGGCAGATACATATCTGTAAATACATTTTTAAAGGGTGATTTTGTTTAAGAAATCTGATTGAAGAAATCTGTCAGGGTCGTGCTGATAAGGGATGTCAGAACCCAGGCCCCACGACCTGCAGCTGCCGAACCGTAGCTCCTGAGAGCAAAGCCGGGGGGGTCCCGCCGCCCACCGCACTGAGTCTGCTGCCCCGGCCTCGCCGGGCGTGCTGTGGGGCCACCCCTTGTGGGCACGATCAGACTCTTCCTAAGACGTGGCTTTTTGTGTTTTATAAGATAGAGTGTAGTTTACATAAAAAGAAAACTTTTTAAAAAAGTTATCTACCTACAAAACTGTAGGTGATGAAAATGATGTATTTTTTTTCATCTTTTTTGTTAACAGATTTGCAATAAAAATGATTCTGATGGTCGTCCAGATTTTGCTAAACTCGACTGTGGTCCTGGCTTGCTTTCTGAGAGGGAGGGAGACCAATAGAGAACGCCAGCCCTAACCCTGGGTGCCAGGGTCACTGTCGGGTCAGGTATCCAGTGTCCCATCTACCCTGCCAGGCCCTGTGAAGTGGGGCAGAGACCCCATAGGGAGCAGGGCACACACAACCCCAAAACCAGGCTCTGGGCTGTCTCTCAACTGTCTGGGTCATGGAGAGCGGGGCCCCACTTACTAGCCTGGGGGCCACTGCAGGCAGAAGGGGCACAGGGGAGAGTCCAGACCCCGGCGTGGGGCAGAGAGAGCCGCAGGAACATCTGAGCAAGGGCGCCTTGGTTGGCGGGGGTGGTGACATAGTGAGTGGGGTAAGTTCTGCGACCCCCAGACGGCGTAGGCTGGGCAGAACCACTGTCTCAGGAATCCCGAATTGGGCCATCAGGCACAGGGTTCGGACCTCCTTCCTCCTTCCTCCGTGTGCCCTCTTTTTCTCTGCCTGGCCCCGCCCCTACCCCCGTGTCTATCTGACTCCGCCCCTTCTCCACTGAACCTTACCCCTTCTCTACTTGGCTCCACTTCTCCTCTACCTGGCTCCTCCCTTTCTCTAGCTGGTCCCGCCCCCACCCCAGTGTCTTCAAAACAGGTTAACACTCCGCTGACCTTTTGAACTGTGGTATTGGAGAAGACTCTTGAGAGTCCCTTGGACAACAAGGAGAGCCAAACAGTCCATCCTAAAGGGGATCAGTTCTGGGTGTTCATTGGAAGGACTGATGCTGAAGCTGAAACTCCAGTACTTTGGCCACCTGATGCAAAGAGCTGACTCATTGGAAAAAGACCCTGATGCTGGGAAAGATTGAAGGTGGGCGGAGAAGGGGACGACAGAGGACGAGATAGTTGGATGGCATCACCGACTCGATGGACATGAGTCTGAGTAAACTCCGGGAGTTGGTGATGGACAGGGAGGCCTGGTGTGCTGCGGTTCATGGGGTCACAAAGAGTCGGACACGACTGAGCAACTGAACTGGACTGAACTGACCACCTTCCACTGCAAAGTGCCACCTGTCCCTGGCGTGGCCCATCGGGGCACAAGGGTGAACCCAAGATTTCCTCACTGAGTGCAGATGCTTCGTTTCTGGGACAAGAGGTACTGGGAAATGGAATATGGCAAATGGCTGAACTTTCATCTTGGAGGGGGCACTCAGCCTGAATTCTGCCCAAAGAACTCCCAGCACCCCTAAATTACAGTCCTAGGTGTACACCCAAGAGAAGTGAAAACAGGCTCTATATCAGTCCATCTAAACCTGTGCTCACAGCAGCCAAGAGGTGGGAACAACCCAAATGCCCATCAGCTGACAACTGGTGATCCAAGTGGGTCCACACTGTGATGGCTAATTTTATGTGTCAGCATGGCTGGCGGTGGGGGGTGGGGGTGGCGCAGATTTGGCCACACGTGAGGGATGAGATTAGCATTGCAATCTGAGCTGAGTAAAGCAGGTGCCCCCTCCCCTGCCCCATGCATGTGGGTCTCACCCAATCAGGTGAAGAAGATATGAATAGAACAGAAAGGCTGAGGAAGAGGGACGTCCGGCCGCCTGACGACTGGAGCTGGGGTATCTGTCTCTTCCTGCCTTTGGAGTCTCCATAATCATATGAGTCAGTTCCTTGTAATAAATTTCTTTATGTATTGATACATCCTGTTGAGAGTTGGACCATAAACAAGGCTGAGCACCCAAGAATTGATGCTTTCAAGTTGTGGTGCTGGAGAACATTCTCCAGAGTCCCTTGGACAGCAAGGAGATCAAACCAGTCCATCCTAAAGGACATCAACCCTGAATACTCATTGAAAAGACTAATGCTGAAGCTGAAGCTCCAATACTTTGGCCACCTGATGCGAATAGTTGACTCACTGGGAAAAGACACCAATGCTGGAGAAGATTGAAGACAGAAGGAGAAGGGGACGACAGAGGATGGAATGGTTGGATAGTATCACTGACTCAGTGGACACAAACTTGTGCAAACTCTTGGAGATAGTGAAGGACAGGGAAGCCTGGCGTGCTGCAGTCCACAGGGTTGCAAAGAGTTGGACACGACTGGGCGATTGAACAAGAGCAGCAGCATCCTGTTGGCTCTGTTTCTCTGGAGAACCAGACTAAACACACGTGATGGACTGGTGTGTGTGTGTTAGCTGCTCAGTCGTGTCTGACTCTTTGCGACCGCATGGACTGTAGCCCACCAGGCTCCTCTGTCCATAGGATTCTCCAGGCAAGGATACTGGAGTGGTTTGCCATTTCCTCCTTCAGGATGGACTATTATTCAACCATAAAAAGGAATGAAGTTACCAACACCAGCTACAGCTCAGTCAAAATGCAGAAAGATCACGCTAAGTGAAAGAAGCCAGATACCAAAGGCTGTGTGATTTCATTTGTATGAAACTTTCAGAGTAGATAAACCCAGAGAGGCAGAAAGCAGATGAATGGTTCCCAGGGCTGGGAGCAGTGGGCAATGGGCAGTGAATGCCCAGTGGGTCTGGGACATTACTTCAGGTGATGAAATGTCTTGGAACTTGACAGAGGTGGTAGTTGTGCATTTTTAATATGTTAAATGCCATTAAATTTGCTATAAAATGGTTAATTTCATGCTCTATGAATTTTACCTCAATTATTTTTTTTAAAGAAAGAACTCCTAGCAGTGTTTGTACTCCCAAGAAGTTCCTGGTGGTTGTGGGATTCCCACAGAGGCAGCAGAACGGGCCTCAAGGAGCACCTCATTGCTCCCCCAAACCCTCGGGCCCCCAGCAACAAGGAGAACAATGCCATGTCAGGTTTAAACTGGGCGTGCCCAGAACCTGGCCCTGCCGGTCGCCTGGCGGGCGAGTTCCTGGGAGCAGACCAACCACGGCCACAGGCTGAAGGCTCTGCCCTCCCCTGCCTGAACCTCCCCTGATGCCCAGGGACGCAACCCCCAGCCGTGCTCGGGCTCAGAAGCATTGGCAGGGATTCCCCAGGCCCCAGGGTGCCCACTGCAGGCTGAAAGACAGCCCGAGACCTGCCCACTGGGGCCTGAACCTACTCCCACAGCCTCAGTTCCACTGCCCGCCAGCCTTTCTGCAGTTCACGTTCTCATCCTGGACACACAGTCTGAGCCGGCCTGCTCCACCAGCCCTGCGTTGGAAGGACCCCTCCCGGGCCACAGTGCACCTCCCACAAGGGAGAGGACACAGCCCCTCCCGAGGCTGTACTCAGCCAAGACAGCTCTGACTTGGGGGCTCTGGTTCTCCCAAATTCGTATGTGGAAGCCCCAGCTCCCAGGACCTCAGAATGTAGCTGTCTCTGGAAACTGGGTCTTTAAAGGGGTAATTTAGGGAAAGTGAGGTCACTGGGGGGAGGGGCGTCCAAGCCAACGTGACTGGGGTCCTCGAAAAAGAGGCGATTGGGACACAGACTCGCACAGAGGGCAGTGTGGAGACCCGGGAGAAGGCGGTCACCTCCCAGCCCAGGAGAGAGGCCTCAGGAAATCCACCTCGCCAACAGCCTGGTCTCAGTCTTCTGGCACCCAGAACTGTGAGAAGTGAATTTCTGTTAAGCCACTACCCTGTGGCACTTATCTATTTTTAGCCGTGGGATGTTGGTTCCCTCACCAGGGGTCGAACCCGGGCCCCAGCAGTGAAAGCTCTGGGTCCCGACCACTGGAGCACCAGGGAACACTGTGTGGCACTTGTTCTGGCAGCCCGAGCAGATAGACATCCCTGGGCATTCCAGAGCTACGTGTGTGCCCACAGCTCCCACGGCCACGGCCAGCTGGCCCAGGCGTCAGCCCTGGTCTCCTCCCCTCCTCATGGTGTCCCACCCCAGGGGTCTGGAGACTTGTGCTTTTCAACACGCAAAACATGTGAGGTCAACACGGAGCGGCCAGTCCACCCTCCTGCTGTGCCCTCCTCTCCTGACTGCTCGCTGTCAGGGGCGGGGGTGGAGGGCACCTTCCCTGAGGCCTCCGGGGTGATTTAGAGCAGTTCTGTCCACCAGAAAGGCCATGCAAGCCACGTGTGCAATTTCAGATATTTTAGCAGCCATGTTAAATGCGAAAAGAAACAGGTGAAGTTTATTTACTAATACATCTTAGTTAATCCAACAGACCCCAAATACTATCACCTTAGCATGTAACCGACACAAAGTTAATGGGATCTTTTACCTCCTCCTTTGGGGGTAGGAGGGGGGCTGTCTTTAAAAGCTCGTGTGTGTTCCAGGCTTATGGCGCACCTCAGTTTGGACCGGCCACAGCCCAGGTGCTTGACCACTACACGTGCGCATAGCCACCACGTCGGGCGGTGTGGATTAGGCGGTGAGGATGGCTGTTGGCACCTCTCAGCCCTGCGGGAAAACCCGAGGCCCATCACTGGCGTGGGGTCTGCTCCACCTTGTCCCAGAGCGAGCCCCAGAGGTGGCTCTGCACCCCTCTGGCCAGAGCAGAGATGGGATCTGTGAGCAGGAAGGACAGCATCAGGGCCCACAGATAAACAGACCCGTGGGGCTACACGCATCAAGAAGTAAACAGAGCATCTCCGGCCTTGGTGCTACTTGGGGGGCTGCCCGCAGCTGCCATTCTCTTCGCTGAGAGAAGCTCACTTCCAGAGGCTGTGCTTAGCCTCGGAGCAGAGGACCACTCTGCGGCGGCTTCATATCCCATCACAGCTGATGACGAATCCTTTGCAGGGCAGCCCAGATTCGGGAACTGCACCCAGGAGCGCTGCTGGAGGGGCAGAGCTGTCAGCAGACAGGGGGTGGAGACTTTCATACACTCGCTGTCATGATGGGGTCCCAGGCATAACAGCAAAGGATTATTCTGTCAAAGTACTTCAATCGGGAACCTACACGGTGTGGTCCAGCTTGACCCCGGGGCGAACGGAGTCCCAGAAGCACTGTGTCTCAGAGGGTGTTTGATGGGTTTGGGAAGCAGCCCTGGGTCAGGGGATCCTTTCCTGCAGGACCTCCTGGGCTCTGAAATGA